AGCATGCTTTTAATGAGTGCAATAATACTAAATAAGATGTAACCAGTAAGAAGGTGGGAAAATTTTATTTGGGCCATTAGTCTCAGATTTTGAATGTTATTGCCATATAGTATTACGGTTTAAGTCACTAGCCTTATTATTTTTTTGTTAAAATAACAGATTATTATTTTAAGGTATGCATCAAGTACTACAACTTGTACAACTGATGTCACTGATGTTTATGTATGATTTCTCATCTCAATACCGCGTAACACCGTAGGATATATGAAATATGAGATTGTATAAAATGTGATTGTTGATACTTATAATATACTTGTTAACTATGTGAAGACAGTGTTTCAATAGCCCTACACCTCCAGAGCTCGGGACGGCAGAAAGTAACCGTCCAAAAGTATCCTTTGTTTTTACTTCCTAATTGGTATAATGCATTATTTGGGTGGATATATAAATCTTTTCATTAATAACAGATATAATATAGGTGTATAAATATCTAAATATCTATATTTCATAACATAGATATTTAGAGATTTATATAACCTATATTATTATTTTAAATAACGCTCGTTTGTCCCATTTCATTTAAAAAAAAATAAAAACAAAAGAAAGAAAGTTGTAAACTATGAAATACAGATGGCGCTTTTCTTCGTGTTATCCAATTTTAGGCGGAAGATTGGTCTCTATTTCAGTATGTTACAAAGTACTCTGTGATCCGCATGAAATTATGAAAATTTTATTTCATTGTTTACATTTGTCAAATTATCAATAGCAAATGTCAAAATGACATGACATGATAAACCTTAACGATCTTGTTACTTTAATGTTGGCAGCAACTTATGATCTCTTTCCCACATTAGGGATTTTATCTAAAACCACTAAGTTTACTGGCGTGAAAATATATAGCTTAAAGCGTGACGTAATTGTAAGACTTTTTATTAAAAGAAGAATTATGCAAAAATATGCTAATTGCTGACATCTTTGGCAACAAAGAAGTGTGTGTTTACGCTTTATTATAATAGTATAGATATAGATGATAAAACGTAAAAACCCTTTATGTAGGATGTCAGCAACCACACAAGACACTTATAACGCGGTTTAGGCTAGATGTTTACACAGTACTTAATTTAGAGGGTAAACAAATTGAATAAAAATGTCATGCGGGAATGGGACAAAAGTTACAAGCTGACATCAAAGAAGCAAGGTCACCATGGTAACGGTAATGTTAGCCAATGGCAAAGGACTTAATTGTCATTTGTGCATTTAAATTTTAATATTTTCAATTGAAAGTTTTACAAATGTAAACAATAAAAAAAGTGCGGAAACAGCTCTCTTAATAATAATAGAGCCATGAATTTAATACTGATTTTTATCTCACTCTTTCTTCAGCAAATACCTGATAGCTGCGTCTCCTTCTTTATTGTGAGGTTCTGAGCTTCACCGACAGCGGGCGCGACGAGCGGCAACGCGGTCTGCTCGCCCAGCAACAGGGACTTGCTGTGCGTAGGGGACGACGGCCGGCGTGGTAAGCACAGCGACGCACTATCCGTTAGTACTGATATCTGAGGAATTACATGTAATTTTAAACAATGTAATTGTAACTAGCGATATTAATTTAAACACTCCACTAGAGATCTCGTCAGGAAGGCGCGCGAATATTCCAATCCTTGTAATGACATTGACAGCTGTCAGCTAGGGATGTGACGTTTATGCCGATAATCTAGTGTTGCGCCAATTCTACAGCACGGTACTAATTTCTTAACAGTAAATAGATTAATTTAGAATTAGACCGGGAACATACCTTTGACTAAACTAAACCATAACTGTTGTGCGATTGTCGATTGTTTCGCAGCTAATTCAATTATTTAGTTGCACAACTAAAAACCGAACAGTGTGTACCTCCATATAAGCTCATAGGAATCGAAGCACGACTAAACAGTTGTGCGATAGTCTAGTCGAAGCTGTGTGCGGTCTTGTGATAGACAACATTACTCATTAAACTCATAGAGTTGAAAAAGAAACATGAAAAAAAGGCTTCCGAAAATCCTAGTAGTTCTAACCATCGACTAAAATCCGATAAAAATACCGAGTTCAAAAAAGTCTACGAGATTGCCAGCGGCTTGTATTGATTCTAGAAAAAGTAATATGTAATTTTAGTCAATTATTGTTCCACTTACCCTATTCATGCTAAGACTTCGCTGATGCGGCTGTAATGGCGCTGAGTATTTCAAATCCAGCACGCGCTGGTCGTCAAAGCTCTGGAAGGTTTCCGTCTTGAGGGGCTCAGCTTTGATGGTCACGTTCCGAAGAGTGTCTATAGAGTCACGTGATGACTGCATGTCTATTGAACTGCTGTTCTCATCTGTAACAGAGTATGCAATCTTACTAATATTATAAATCCGAAAATTAAGATGGACATCCGTCTATACATCCGTATGTTAGAGTTTGTAGCCTAAACTGCTGAAAGGATCTTGATGATAGGCATAGATGTAGAACATAGTCTAGAAGAACACACATTCTACTTGCTTTTAATTTTATTTTTTCGGAAAAGGAAAATTCAACTAACACATAAAATTCAAATATCATAAGACCTAATAACATAATAGTCATTTAGTACCAATATAATAGAAGACACGGCTAAGCCAAGGACTGATAGAAGGAAAGGCGTAGAATGTTTTCAACTCTGCGAAGTAATTCCGTAGGGGTTTAAAAAAGGGTTGTAGTTGGAATTAGTCTTATTAGAATAATTAAACATAGAATATGACATACCATTATGTACGGTGTCTATGACCATCTCGGAGTCAGAAAGCTCTCCTTCCCACGACATGGGCCGCTCGCGTTCGCTGCCCTCGCATTGCGCGCCGTTTGACGATCTCTTCTTCTTATTCCGCATATTGACCTGTAAATAGTTGAAAAACTTAAGATGAAAACTTAATTTATTTCAATAGTATAACAATCTACACTGTTCTATAATAGATTTTCTCTTACTTCTCAATCGCTTTCCGAAAATATCAACACCCTCACACTAGGTTCAGGACTGTGTTATGTGGGTTTTTTATTTATGAATCAACATCATCTTTCTGTCCTTATGATTTAAGGAAACAATTATAAGGATTCTTATCTATATGTAGTTCAATTTTTTAACTAAATGCCACGACATTTTTAAACTACCTTTATGGATCTATAAAGATTATTAGCCTTAGTATTCATGCGATTGGGACACTATCCGAAATTCAATTAAAATTTTTATGTTTTAGTTTAAACATGAAAATTATAAAATCATGCACCGAAAATTCTTTAATCTGACTGCATTAATGCCCTACACAACAATCATCTACCTTATCCTACTCCCGTAGGGTCGCAACGTGTTTTCGTCCTCCAAATAACTATCATCCGTCTACTCACCACGTCACCACTCCCTTGACCATATCACTGTTCGCGCGGGAGACGCTGGCAACACTCGTTAACGTCAGAACCGAAAAATAACGGCTTACAATCTTACAAAGCATATGCTTGTCTTATATTATTATAAAATCTATAATATTGCCCAATAAACCATTCAAACCAAACATTTGGTCCTTCGAGCCGGATAATCATTTATCATGCAATCTATCGAACAATCAATATAATACAGGTAAATTGTTATATGGTAACTACCTCATATTGGTGTTGCGTGAAGTCTATCTTGGAGATCTCAGCATCAGTCGAATCTTCGTCATGAGGATCCGAGGATACGCTGATGCGTACTCCACTTGAACTATACGAGAATTGACCTGGAAATATAAACATATTTTTAAATCTGCCTACCGCTTTATTGCTTTATCGGACTACCCAGTTGGGCATGTTCATAACATTGTTTATATTTTCACGCTATTAAATTTAAGGGGTAAATAAATTGGAAAAAAGCCTTCATGTGGGAAAGGGACCATAAATTACAAGCTGTCAACATTAAGGAAGCAAGGTTATTATCGTAACGGTAATTTTGACATTTGCAATTGAGAATTGTAAACAATAATTGTAGACAAATGTAAAAAATAAAATAACGTTTTTATAATTTCATGCGAATGAAGCCGCACGGGAACAGCTAGTATGATATAAAAATCGAACAAAACATATCTGATATTTTTGTACGTGTTTTTTTAAGAGTTTTACGAGTTATTTTATCAATTGTTTATATTTAGATTAATAAAATAAATATAAAAATAAGATCGTTGACGGTAATTAAGATCACACCTTGTATAAACATAAATTATCGTAAAATTTAATAACGTTATAGCTTATCTTAAAACATATTTGAGGAAGGCCGTTTCGATAAATCTATTTTTATTAACGTTATACGAACTATCAATTTATTTACATTGTTATTGTTAAACTAAATATGAAATACTTTTTATAACAAAACACAATCGGATTGGGAACCCTCTCTTTTGTTTCGGTTGAATATTATCAGCATAACCTAATCGGAATATTCCTCTGTCAAAATCTCTAGTTATCATAAAATATCTCCCAGGCTTATGCTAATGTAAAATTTTCCCAAAAGTAATTGTAAGATAAAATATCAATGACTGGTCGATAAGATTGCTAGAAATCTTAGATCCGTAATTTTTACCATCTTATTTATATAAGAACAGTAACTAAAAATCGGAGATAAGAGATATCTCTTACATCCGATATTTATTTAGTTCGTGTATTTAATAATTATTGTAATTATTAAAAGCAATTAAGAAACAGTTACTATACTTTTTTAACCTCACTGGGTGAACCAATTCGATTCTCAACGATCGGAAAGTTTGCGAGCAATCCCTTAGCTTATCGATAAAGCACCTGGCGACAATTTAATTTATGAACTCTAAGAAAATTGTAGAGATAAGCCTACTATAGGTAACCGTTACAATTAACGAAACAGATATTTTTTTATTTATTTTATTATCTGCAATCAGTCTTTAAAACTTTTAGCAAATGTGAGGAACGATTAACGAAACTGATATAAAAAATAAGTATTATGAAGAGGAACACTTTGTTTGATTATAATGAATAGGCTCAAAAATTACTGGGCCGATTTTAAAAACTCTTTCATTGTTAGAAAGGTTATTTATCTGTGAGTAACATCGGCTATATTTTTTCATTTCTTTCTTGTTTAATTTTAAAATTATTTTTAAATTTCAGGCAAACGGAGTCGCGGGCAAAAGCTAAAAAAAAACAATTAAAAAGCGCTTCTTTAAAATTTCAAAGCGCTCATAACTAATCACCCCTATGAGAGCTAAAAGCGTGAGAATTTCACCTTTAGCTTGTTTCCAATATAATGCGCAATCTATTAAATACAAGATTATCTATGAAGTAAGAGAAATCCGATCGGCGGGTTCGCGCGCCCTCAGCTCTAATTTATGGATTTCAACTTTCTAGACATACAACGACCGCGCTTAGCGCCAATTAAAGGCATAACATTGACAAGACTCGGCTAGACTACGTATAGCGCGACTGAAGAATGTTAATACTAATGTAGTTGAAAAAATCACATTTATTCAAACTAGTTTTGATACTTGCATTTTTTCCTATGCAAACTTTCTGACATCTGACAAACTAGAATATTGTAATTTTTCTATATGTCAATAATGTTTTATTACTATTATTTATTTATTTAATTTTTATCGAATTTCAGATTTTTGTATGTAAAATTTGTTATTTTTCCTCACAGTTTGTTTTATTGTTGTTATTACTCTATTTATTAAATAACAAAAATTAATTATGTATATTTATATATTAAATATAATATCACTTACCATCGCTGGTCTCAGGGCCCGACATGCTGATAGTGGTGACGGACACATGGCCCCCCTCCACCTTTACAGAGTCGGCATCGCTCGACATCGTCGTGTCTTCCCTAGCACTCACAACACTAACATTACCACTATTATCGACAGTTTACAATAATTGTTTCACCTCCCTAACTATAAAGCACCGTGCACATGAGACCTTAAAAATATCATCAAAATACTATTTCAAAATTCTTCAAAAACTATTTCTTTATGGAATAATGTTCTCGTAGAAAAATATCTCTTTCCCCTTCGATCATCTTGCATCACTGATAATTAAGGCATCCCTGGGATTCAGTCTTGTATCCCGTCGTTGGAAGACAACACTGTATTCACATGGTTTTTCGTATTCCGATATATCGTAGGTTTCTTTGATTTTCAAAGACAAGCAGGATCGGATACGGCCAGCCGATGATACCAGCATCTTGTTAATCTGCAAACGAAAACAAATATTTTTAAAATCAACCAAGATATTAAAAAAACCCTTTAAAAAATTAAAACAAACGTACTGGCTGATTATAAAATGGAACGCATTTCACTTGAAATTAAAAAAAAATAAAAGCACACACTCAAGAGCGATTCATATTTGGAATAAAGCCGTCATTCGAGGACGGTGTTTGTGTTGTGTAGACGTGCGCGCGACGACACACGTACCCGCGGCCTTGCCGACCAGTGTTGCGCCTTGCGCGCCGCGCTATCGATACGACCGCGCGACCTCCGTGTCATTGGCACTTTGTTTACAGTACAGACGGACCGATAACGTACTTTACCGTCATCATGTTAAGTATGAATGAGTCAGCATTCTGTTGAATGAACTGAATTAACGCCATTAACAAATATAATGAATACGTTTTTTTTAAATCATTAAACTTTACCTTACATAATGTATTTCATGTCATAAATTAGTTCATACTTCTACCAAGACCGATGAATATTTGTATAATTAGATTTTGACAAACAAATAAAAATTGAAATAAATATTATAATTAATAATTTATCGATAATAGTCAATCACTAGCGTCGCGGCGTTATAGTGGGGGGCGTTGTGCGGCCTTCACAGAGCCGGTTGTAGCGGCGACCGGCCCCGGCCGTGTTGCCGCGACCATTTCGCCTTTCGCGCGCTCAACCGGCCGGCCCGTCGCTCCCGATACGAGACTAACAGCTATACAGTATTTATATAGTAGAAGACCAATGACACTAAACAATGTATATTAAAATATTTCAACATATCAAGGAGGAAAATGTAAGAAATGGAGAAAGAAATTGATGATGAGAATGAGTGTCTGGCAAGGCAATTAATGTTCATGCCTTTCGCCTGAGTCTTCAGCAAACTTTAATTGCATATTTGCGAAAAAAAACCTACAACCGCAACAATAATTGCAAGATAACTTGTCTAATAGCAAAAAAATATAATACCAGAATAGATTAAGTAGATACTTATTGTATTCGGAACAAGAAAAATTTTGAGATTCATTTATAATATTTATTCAGTTAAAGCGTTAAAGTTATTAATAAAAAACACAGATAAGCCAATAAAAACATGCGATATGTCCACAGCACAAATATGTTTTTTCTCATTTGATCAATGGTGTTATCAATATGCTAGAACGGGATGCAAATAAATTTGGTGTCCCAATAAAAGGAGTACGTCCGCACGCAAGATGGCGTCACCGTGGCCTAGACAAGGCCGAGCGGTCATTTATACGATACGTCAGACGCCTTTGTCTGTAACGTGTTTGTGGATTACAAAATGGAAAATTTTTATGCGATTATTTTTTTATCGATTACAAAAATATGTATGACCTTGTGATATCACATTTGTTAGATGCATATTGCGACGCGCATGATTATTAGTACGTAATTGTTATTTACATTTTTAACAAAGGAAAACTCTGTTTAATTAAACAACTTGCTGGCGTTTTTATCTAAGCTGTCCCTTAGTTTTCAAATCACTACTAAAGACTAAGAAGCTCTCTTGATGACTAAGTCAATTCTAATGGACGTTTATTGCCTTATCAAAAATACAACCACGAGATTAATATAAGTATCCACGTTATTATTATGAGTTCAGGCCTCGACAGATGTACATGAAATTAAACGACGAAATATTATTAGACATAGTACTCGTACGGCTTATGGGCTCGGCAAGTGATGTCCTTGCGCCATTCCTTGCTATCGACAGACCCGAGCCGAGGCGTCGACCGATAATTATCTTAAGGTCACAGCACTATCACGATGACGTAAGCATCGTGCCATGTCGTGATAATGCCTGTATTGTACAGGTGCATATCTCCTACAATCCAATGGAAAAATATGCTTTCTTTATTTATCAAAATGGAAAATACCGATATCTAGTTTTAGATTTGGATTCTTAATCTAAAGTTAATATTATTTATTTATTATTATTATTTAATATGTAACAAAAAAAGTCTTTTCTTTTCAAGTTAAATAGGTATATTTCAGAACTAAAGGTGTTATCAATTTGTCAATCAACGGAGAGGACGCAAGATTTGAAAAGCAAAGCATATGTCACAAATCTAATGAAAACAATATTAGTAAATATGCAGAAGTAAATAAAGAGATAACACACAACATTTCTTTATTTAGATAGAATAAACAAACGCGTTAAAAGAATTCCTTTGACAATTCCTTGTCTGGGCAATGTCCTTGACCCCATGGCGTTAGAGGTCATCCGTCCCCTACAGACTGGAGTGCGTGCACCCCGTCACCTACGCTCGTTTAAAATAGACGAGGTGAACAATCTACCTAACAAAGAAATCTAGTTACGTTACAGTAAATAATGTTAGATTGTCATAAAATGATTGCAACTTTACCTTTACTTGTGTTAATTACGGTTGCTAAGCAACTGATTTAGCTTTTTTTGATGCTGTAAATATTTTACAAATAAGATTAATTAGTTTGATAAATAACGCATATAAGTAGTAACTTAACTAAAGTAATTATTTTCTTATTAACTAATTCAGGGGACGATTCTAGTAATGAACGTAGTGCAGAGAATAAAGCGATGTCAATAATAATAGCGAAATCCAATTCGATTATGTACGATTGTAGTAGTAATAAATTTATTAACTCTTATTCGTTGTATTGATTCTTTAGTACATTATTGATTTAAGAAAAGTTGTTTTCAATCCATAAGTTATAACTATGACTCTATCGATTCCAACTTCTATAAGAATAAAAATCGAAAATCGATAAGATTCATGACTGATTTTACACAACCCCATCCCTATTAAATTGTCAAACTAATCGCCCTTATTTAGACAAATTGTAGCGGGTTTTTATTAGTTCATCAGATAGTTGCGTAATCCGAGCATCGATCATACATTTTTTAAATCACCAAGTTGTCGAAAATTCAAGTGAATGTATAGACTTTAAGTGAAACGTTTGTGTAAATGTTAAATATAATATAGTTAGCGCACACAGAGATAAAACTAGAGATCGAATGAATTATGAGTCAGACCTAACCTGGGAACTGTACAACTTACTTTCTCTTCAATACGCCCAGTGCGCGAGAACAATTCGTTTACGGCCTTCTGTACGCTTTTTACAATATTATTATTGTAACTATAATTCAAGGTTCCGAACGTTCAAAATAAACATTTGAAGGTTATAATTTCAGTTACTAATCGACAACTAAACTATTCCCTTCCCTAACCTATAACTCTCTTGTCTTTGGTTCGAAAACATTAAAAAAAACAAATGAGTAAAGCTGTCAATCTGTCATTGAACTAAATTAATAGCTTTATCTTTGTTATTAATTTAATGTTTATAGAATTAAATTGTTTTAAATAGACAATTCAAATCACACTTCACAAATTATAAATGACTTTCTCAAACGTAATTTTCATGTCTTATATTTTTTCTGTGTTAAATAACATAATCAAAATTGTTTATGAACGCATTTTTTTTATCTACCGATACGAATACGACGCATAAAGTTTTTTTTTATTTGATTTTTATTTAACTGGCCACAAAGTTGCGGTTACAGTTATTACGAAATATAAATTCTTAACATAACCGTAAATAATTAATAGGTTGATAAAGTGTCTTAAATATTTATAGCTTGCAGTATTTATATCTAAACTATTGCTAAGGATTATGTTATCTATAATTGCAAATTATAACAGACTTTATCTACAATGTTTGATGGCATTTTAACTGTTACCGCGACTTCGAGGCGAATTAAAATAAATATTAACTGCCAAAAGAAACACATTTATTGTCTCTATCACAAGTCTGTACATGTATTTGGACAGCTGTCGTCTGTCTTAGCTGGATAAAAACATCCCAGTTAATAAATTACGATTAATTTTAGCTCATTATAATTTCAAAAAAATAATTATCGCATTTAATTTAGTTGATATTATGCAAAAAGTAACAAGTTTTTTTGTGTCTTATGTTGACACGGGTTATAATTTTCTCTTTTATTACCCGTTAAGAGTTTCATCCGAGTATTTTATATTTTAATTAACCGGTCCTTATAAAAGATGCCGAATGTAAGAATAAAGTAACCAAAAAGGCTTATTTATTATCATTTTAATTCAATGAAACAGTTATAACACTTTTCCACGACTGTTTCAAAGAATAATTTAAAAAGTTCTTAATATTTCCTCTTTAACGTATTCTGAGATTCAAGAAATATGTGTGTTATGTATACGTTTTTAAACGTTAAAATCAACAAGACTAAGGGCCTGTCCCACCACTGGCTGATAGGTCAGATATCCTAAAAATTACGTCACTGTCAGAACAAAACCAATATTCCATCACATATTTTACACGTTGGATTATCAGACAATTTACAATTTGGTGGAACAGGCCCTAATTGTTTAAAAATAATTTAATTAAGTATGTATAACTCCTACGTAGCTTTGAGTAAGTAATTAAAACCGTAGACTATGAAAATTGTATAATTTGAAATTTATTAGAGGCTAATCATATTACTATCATACTAATATTATAAATGCGAAAGTTTAGATGGATGGATGTTTCTTAGAGTTTGTAGCCTAAACGGCTGAACTGATTTCAATGAAATTTGGTATAGATGTAGAGGATAGTCTGGAAGAACACATAGGTTACTCACTTTTTTTTTTAATTCCACGCGGACGGAGGTGCGGGCGAAAGCTTGCGTTCAATATTAGAGACCCTTTACATTAGCTTCAATTTATCTTTAGACAAATCTGGTAAACATAATGCACATAAATAATGACAAGATATAGACCACGACTCGTTAGTTAGCAGTTATAAGCTTGGTATGTAAAAGGTGCCTTATTACAGGTTACCCTTGTAAGGTGCGGCTTAAGTTGTTTTCATTATAAAATTAACTATGAGTTTAAAATTTGAATTTGGGTAGGTTGAGTTAGAATTCAAGTGGACTTTTTTTTTGAGTTTATACTGGGAAGACTTTTAGGAGTTTACCAATATATTTTTAATGTTTTGTTATAATTCAAATTAAACATTGAACGTAATGTTTTCAACATGTGCCACGTCTGCACTGCTAACTTTCACTTATCTTAACTAGATGTTTCCCGCAACTTCGTTTGGGCAGTATTAAAAAATATACGGATATTAAAAAACTACGTATCCTTCGGGAACCTGTCATTTTTAAGTGATGATTTATATCCCAAG